GTGTATAGATAGTCGTGCTGATAGCACACACACGTGTATAAATAGTCGTGCTGATAGCACACACGTGTGTATAGATTGTCGTGCTGATAGCACACACGTGTGTATAGATAGTCGTGCTGATAGCACACACGTGTGTATAGATTGTCGTGCTGATAGCACACACGTGTGTATAGATAGTCGTGCTGATAGCACACACGTGTGTATAGATAGTCGTGCTGATAGCATACACGTGTGTATAGATAGTCGTGCTGATAGCACACACGTGTGTATAGATAGTCGTGCTGATAGCACACACGTGTGTATAGATAGTCGTGCTGATAGCACACACGTGTGTATAGATAGTCGTGCTGATAGCACACACGTGTGTATAGATTGTCGTGCTGATAGCACACACGTGTGTATAGATTGTCGTGCTGATAGCACACACGTGTGTATAGATAGTCGTGCTGATAGCACACACGTGTGTATAGATAGTCGTGCTGATAGCATACACGTGTGTATAGATAGTCGTGCTGATAGCATACACGTGTGTATAGATAGTCGTGCTGATAGCACACACGCGTGTATAGATAGTCGTGCTGATAGCATACACGTGTGTATAGATAGTCGTGCTGATAGCATACACGTGTGTATAGATAGTCGTGCTGATAGCACACACGTGTGTATAGATAGTCGTGCTGATAGCACACACGTGTGTATAGATAGTTGTGCTGATAGCACATACGTGTGTATAGATAGTCGTGCTGATAGCACACACGTGTGTATAGATAGTCGTGCTGATAGCACACACGTGTGTATAGATAGTCGTGCTGATAGCATACACGTGTGTATAGATAGTCGTGCTGATAGCACACACGTGTGTATAGTCGTGCTGATAGCACACACGTGTGTATAGATAGTCGTGCTGATAGCATACACCTGTGTATAGATAGTCGTGCTGATAGCACACACGTGTGTATAGATAGTCGTGCTGATAGCACACACGTGTGTATAGTCGTGCTGATAGCACACACGTGTGTATAGATAGAAGTGCTGATATCACACACGTGTGTATAGTCGTGCTGATAGCACACACGTGTGTATAGATAGACGTGCTGATATCACACACGTGTGTATAGTCGTGCTGATAGCACACACGTGTGTATAGATAGACGTGCTGATAGCATACACGTGTGTATAGATAGTCGTGCTGATAGCACACACGTGTGTATAGTCGTGCTGATAGCACACACGTGTGTCTAGATAGACGTGCTGATAGCACACACGTGTGTATAGTCGTGCTGATAGCACACACGTGTGTCTAGATAGTCGTGCTGATAGCACACACGTGTGTATAGATAGTCGTGCTGATAGCACACACGTGTGTATAGTCGTGCTGATAGCACACACGTGTGTATAGATAGTCGTGCTGATAGCACACACGTGTGTATAGATAGTCGTGCTGATAGCACACACGTGTGTATAGTCGTGCTGATAGCACACACGTGTGTCTAGATAGACGTGCTGATATCACGTCTACACAGCAGCACGTGTACACACGGGCGCAAGAGCGCAGAGCGCCAAATTCCGCCAATTGCAGTTGTGTGTGAGTGTGTGTTTGTGAATGTGTGTTTGTGTGTTTGTGTGTGTTTGTGAGTGTGTGTTTGTGAGTGTGTGTTTGTGTGTGTGTGTTTGTGAGTGTGTTTGTGTGTGTGTTTGTGAGTGTGTGTTTGTGTGTGTGAGCGTGCCACTAAGAGGTGGGGCCTTACCATCAGCCCCACCAAAACTAAGCACCTGCCTGGGTATTTTGTACCATCGGACACTCCACCCCCACAACTCCCAATCGGTGATGGGGCAGTTGTGGAGAGAGTGGAGAGTTTCCCATACCTGGGCAGTGTGCTTATGACTGGCTCCAGTTTAACAGCAGAGGTCTCACTCCGAATCAGTCGAGCGGCAATATATTTTCATCGGTTGCGTAACGCTGTGTGGAAGCTACCTGGTCTGTCGCTCCGCACTAAGCTTCAGGTCTTCTCGGCCACGGTCATTCCCTCCGTCTCTATGCTTGCGAAACGTGGACCCCCCTAATGGAACATCTTCGCCGGTTAGAAAAATTTAGGCTCGCCTGCCTACGATCCATCCTGGGTTTAACCAGGCTGGATTGTGTGAGGAGCTCACAAATCCTTGAAAGATCTGGGCAAGGTCCCATCGATGAGCTCCTCCGGCAGGCAAGGCTGCGTTGGCTGGGTCATGTAGCCCGCATGCCCAGCCACCGCATGCCGAAACAGCTTTTGTTCGGCCGGATTGAGGGGGCTAAGTGGGCGCGGCACGGGCTAGAGAAGAGATGGAGTGATGTGGTACAGGAGGACGTGGAGCTGAGTGGACTTGCCGATGACTGGTACCAGCGGTGTCAAGATCGGCCTCCGTGGAGGAGGCTCGTGAAGGACGATACTGGGCAGTTGGAGGCAGTCGCCCTCCAACAACAACGGAGGGCGGAGGAGCGACGCTCAGAACAACGAGCGGA